AGGAATTGCAGATAGATGGAAGATAAAACAAACTTTGTTAAAAAACTACACTTTTTAGACTCCAATTTACTAACATACGACATCATGTGAAGTCACATTCTAGATCTTACAAAATGTCTCATACAGTCTGAAGCAGCAAATCAAAGAAAAGGTATCCAGTAATAAATACACAACTGTGCTCATCCCAGTGGTCATAGAATCAATAAATCAGAGTAACCAGAAGTCTCTGTCAAGACTGTAGCTTTACTGGTTTGTACTTAAAACAAAGGAAGAGAACAGAAGCACTTGGACTTAAAACTTTGCAACAGCAATAAATAGAATAATGATCCTTGATTTTGTTTCTTTTTGTGGCAAGATTGCAATCAGACTAAAACTGTAGGAGGAGTAGCCTTTTATAAGAATTTTACAGAAATTTCAATTTTAGTTACCATGGCAACATCATTAATCAAAATAAGAAAACAATAAAGACATTGATGTATCTCAGTATAGTCTACTTGCAGGCCACGTTATATCAAAATCAGACCTATCTGTAGGAAGAGTAGCATTTTGAAAGTATTTCACAGAAATTTCTATTTTAAGTAACCATGGTGACACCGTTCATCGAAATCAAAAAACGATAAACAGAATTATTTATCTTAGTGTAGTCTACTTTTGTGCAAAGTTATATTGAAATCAGACCAGTAGGAGGAGTAACATTTTGAAAAATTGTTAACAGACAGACGGACACACAGACAGACTAGGAGGAGTAACATTTTGAAAAATTGTTAACAGACAGACGGACACACAGACAGACTATCGCATAAGCCCTTCTGGTTTCTGACCAGTAGAGCTAAAAATGTGGGGACAGACAAATAACTGGAGGCCATGCAGATATATCTTATTTGGGCATCTATTTAGAAGTTAGAAAGCCTATCTGGTTAACACCTCATGTTCACTGCTGCAATATTTGACATTCCCTTCCCTTTTAAATGACGTCGCTCAGCTCAATTTGGGATCTTTAATTCCCTCAAGTCTTCAGGTCTACTCATCAAATAAGATGGGGACCTAGAAAAACTTACCACATTTCAGCACATATCAGGATGTCAAAGGATTCAATCCCCTTTGAAGTACTGTAGTTATGAATGTACTTTACTAACTAAAGGATGATAACTGCTACACAAGAGAAAGCAAACTGCTTTAGTCTCATATCTCTATCCACATCAATACAATACCAAAGACATGCAAGTTTATTTTGTTATCATACAAATATATATAACAGAATTTTCAGAGTTGAACCCCTTTCCAATAAAAGCTACATTGTCCCTTTTAACTTTCCATTTGAAAAAAAAATCTACTTGGTGAAAAATCTTCAACTTGATAGGTTTTCTGTATTTTGCTGCAATTCTTATGCCACTGGAAGAAAAAGATTAAAATCCTGTATGCTCAAACTCTACAAATGTACACTTCAATGCACTAGCTGATACAGTGATATTACTAATAAAATATTTATATGTATGTATGATAATGAATAACGAATGAATGCGAATGAATATGATCAGATCTTGATCTTATTTGTCTTGATCTTTTTGGTTCAGCAATTGACACATATACTTATCAAAAGCTACCTTTGTGTCCAGATCTATCCCCCCCCCCCAAAAAAAAATGTATATATACAATGTCAGGGATTAATTTAGGTTTTGGGAGAGACTACCCTTTTTGAGAAATCAGGAATCATCTTTGTGCCATATAACATATAATTTTATACTGTATACTTTAGAACTCTACAAGATATTCTGGCGACTGATCTACATGAGCGTATTTCAACAATTATTTCTGAATTCTTCATCATTTACTTTTGTGCACAATCATATGTCAAACTCATTAATAACAAAAACACACAAAGTTAAACATGCTGGGAAAACTTTACCTGAATCTTGATAGCCTGCCAAAATTGTTGGTTTTCCAACAAAAACGTCTTTTTGTTTTGGGGGTACACTATTTACCGGAAAGAACATACTTTTAGGTAAGTTGCTCCTAAGACAAGTCGGTCCATCATAATCCAATAAAAAGTTGTTGATGTCAGATGGTTCGATATTTAAATCCACAGAATGACACTTAACTATGTTTCATTCTTTAAAGAAAATGAACATAAATGTAGAAAACATGAACCTTAATATTTTTTTCAAAATTGTTTTTAAAAAATGTTAATTTAAATTAAAAATGTTAATGACATTCTTAATCCAGCAGATGTTAAATCAACAAGAAGTATATGTAATTTCACACGTGATGCATGTAATACAAGAAAATCTATGTGACTATATTTGTTTACAACTTTACTGTATGTATGACTTGCACCACATGTGGTTTTTGTCAAAATAAATTGAATTAATTAAAATTTTAAAAAGTATATATAGGTCCCTGCTTTTCTTGTATTATTTTGACTGCTTAAACAAAAAGTTCAATTGTAATTATTGTGTTGTGTAAGAGAATTAAAATTTTGTAGGCCTTATTTATTAATACTTTAATTATTTTCAAATTTGATTTCAGTGCTAAAAACAATCTATCCTAAATTTCAGCCACTTTAAAAATAAAGTTATGTCATGAAGTTATGAATTCATACTATAGTAGTATACTGAGTACATGACTACATTCCAGACAATAACTTGTCCAACATAACTTGTGTTGATTAAAAAAATTTCCACATTTGTTATAATCGAAGGTATATATTTAGGCACACTGTACGTACCAAAGTGCATTCCTTGATCAATATCATATTCCTGGGTTAAATCTTTAAACTTAATTTGATATAAAATATCAAGATGCAATATATGCCCACTTTGAAAGTCACTCGAGTACCATGGGTTTTTCATGACATCACATATGGAACCAATGACATAATCCCACCTGGAACTGGAACTTAGTCTGGTTTCATGCCGACATACGCACATATTAAACTTAACTAGATCTGGTAAGGACAACTATAACATGCATGATCATTATCATTTGCATGCAGCTAATGTCCTAGAGAAGAAAAAAAATAAAAAAGATTTTTAAAATTATAAATACAATTGTAACAGGAAAGGAAAAAATGTATGGCTGGACTGGGAATCGAACCCCTGCATCACTAGTCAGGACTGCTCTACCGACTGAGCTACCCAGGCCGATATCCACGGCCCAAACCAATACATTCCTCCCTCCTTATATTGTCTTTGCCCTCAAAGACACAACCCAAGTTCTTATTTATAAGCCCCTGGCAGGACTTTCACCTGCAAGTCCAGGGGTGGTCAATGGCACCAAATCTGTAACAGGAAAGGAGAAAATGTATGGCTGGATCGGGAATCAAACCCAGGACCCCTGCATCACTTAAGTCAGGTGCTCTACCGACTGAGCTACCAAGGCCAATATCCATGGCCCAAACCATTACACATATAAGTTATAACTGAACCCTCATATTAAGTTTATTGACATAATGGATACAGAGTGTTTAAACTAATTATCTACAGCCCAAACCATTACATTCCTCTCTCCTTAAATTGTCTTTGCCCTCAAAGACACAACCCAAGTTCTTAAATTAGCCCCTGGCAGGGCTTTCACCTGCAAGTCCAAGGGTGGTCAACGGCACCAAATCTGTTACAGGAAAGGAGAAAATGTATAGCTGGATCAGGAATCGAACCCGGGACCCCTGCATCACTAGCCAGGTTCTCTACCAACTGAGCTACCAAGGCTGATATCCACGGCCCAAACCATTACACATATAAGTTATAACTGAACCCTCATATTGAGCTTACTGTCATAATGGATACAAAGTATTTAAACTAATTATGGGTACATTCACTGTATAATGAATTCAATTTTTGGTACAATTTATGATCAATTTCTGCCCAGTGTTCTGGCTTGGGAGAGGGCTCATGAATACAATCGCAAGACTTCAACAATTTTAGTAGGAGGCCAATTAAATGCTCATTATAATCATCAAATGTTCTGCCTCCTTGAAGTCCATGGAGGAGTAAAGATTTTAAGATTTTCTAAGACATAAAGCATATTTATTATACCACCAATTAAATTGTCTCACCCTTGGGCCTCAACCTATAAATCCAGGGGTCATGAATTTCAGTTTTGTTAAAGGGCTCTTTGCTTATAAGAATCATGCCAACAGTCTGACTGCTTGATATCCAGGGAGTAAGAACAGAATTTTGAAAATTCCACCAATTTTTGTGTAGGCCACACCCCTCAGAGAAAAAGACCATGAAATTCATCAATTTTTGTGTAGCTATAGGCCTGGTGATACCCCTCAGAGAGGAAGACTTGTGATGAAATTCATCAATTTTTGTATAGCTATAGACCACACCCCTCAAACATTGATTGATTGATTGTATGTTGTTTTACGTCCCATTCGGGAATTTTTCACTCATATAGAGACGTCACCATATACCGGTGAAGGGCTTCAAATTTAGACCTATACTCGGCACTCAGGGCCATTGAGCAGTGAGGGTTCTTTATCGTGCCAACGTCTACCGTGACACGGGGCCTTGGTTTTTAAGGTCTCATCTGAAAGACCCGCAACTTTCACTCCAAAGTGCCAAGCGCTTGGCGAAGGAACAGTTGCTACCTATGTTTTATCGACCTAGGTCAGTCGCGGCCGAAGAAGACCATGAAATTCATCAGTGTTGTTCCCCTTTTCCCATAAGATGCTAAATATCAAAATTGGCTGAAATTGGTCCAGCTACTTCAGAGAAGAAATTGAAAATGTTCAAAAGTTAATGCATGATGACAGATGAAAACAGATAGCAATAGGTCACTTGAATGATTCAGGTGACCTGAAGTTTTAATAGTACATAAGAAGGCTGATCACATACATAATTTAATATGTTAATATTTAGGAAACCATCAGATGAAGCCTCTTTTTCCCTGGGTGTTTTTACTACAACTAAAGAGGGATAACTATTACAAACATTATCAAATGAAGCAACACTTGGAGCTTTTTTAAGATTTATTGAAAAACAAATACAACATTTTGGATTAATAAGTTTGATCGTCTAAATGTCAAACAAAAAGAAATAAATACAGAAAGAAAAAAGTTCTAAAAATCATGACAAATAAAGTATAAAAATAATAATGATTGTTAAACCTTTAAAAATTGTTTCCTATATAATTCTACACTATAAAAAAGTCTAACATTTCCAATGTTTTACTGAGCGGTCATAAAAAAATTGATGTTTTAAAGCAGAGCGAGATATTGGACCTGTGGATGAGATGTTGGACCGCTTACGTCACAGTGTGGGCGTGGTCAGCTGTATCTCATTTGCATTCGTTAGAGTTCAACAGAACTTTACGGAATTGACCAAGTTTAAACCACAGTGCGGGTAAACAAAATTTACATCATGTTATGTCAAAATAAAAAGTAAAAGGTATAACAAAACATTTATTGACTGTGTTCTCGGGCAAAATGTGTTTTGTCGACCCCTCGAACAAAACTGTTTGCCTTCGGCCTAACAGTCTCAGGCAAACAGTTTGGTTCTTGGGTCCGACAAAATGCATGATGCTCTCGAACCCAGTCAATAAATGTATATTATTATATACACACTACAACTCTGTAATTGACATATATCACCAGTAAAAATAATATATAGAGTGTTTCTCCATGATTTTCTTGAGGTAAAATTTCAGCATAACTCTCACGTGAACATGTTAACACCAATAAATAAATAATCAACATATTAATTAATTCATAATTAATTCAATCACTAACATTCTAGAAGAGACTTGTATTGGGCAAGCAGTGCGATTGCTGTTAACATTAAACTTTCATAAAACACTTTTTAATGGAATGAATTGTCATACGTACAAAAGAAAAACTATATAAAATATTCTGAACAAAGCTTATCAATCACAGGAAAAAAAAAATAAGATTTTAAAAATCTGAAAAATATAACATAATTAATCATCTCTGTAGATAACAAAATCACAGATAAGAACTAATATTGAATTAATGATATGAACCAAGGATTATGTCATTGCCATTTAGAAAAGAAAGATGAGTAAAGACACTAACTCCTCTGAGGAATTGTGACCAGATCATTTATTAAAAAAATTAAATATCTGAAGAATGTTTAATCCACTGACTCATAATTATGTGACATCCATATATAAAACACATATTTGTAAAGCATGCCATTAAATAAGTATAGTATACAAGAGTTTCACTACTATGTGTCATCTAATGATAGGAATAAAATATTCTTGTAAAACATAAAAACTCCATAGAATTGAACATTATTATGCATAAGTTAAAGATCTTTGATGAGAAAATATAAATCCTATCTTAAATTTCTGTTCAAATATTATAAACTCTGGGAATAGCAATAGTTATTCCATCAGTAAAACACCAACAATTTTGCAGTCGAGAAAACTTGCTTTTCATTCTTTTTTCTTAAATCAAATGCAAACTGAAATGTTTAGTATAAACTTACAGGAAGAAAATACCCTTTACTGTTATGAGAAGTGACCAAAAATATCTCTCTCATCAAGAAAAAAAACCCCACTCACTATATATTCTAACATCATTATCAATTCAAAATGTCTGAGAAAAAAAATCATTTAAACACATTATCCTTAATTTTTTAAGCTGGTGAAATTTGATTGTTTCTAAGTAAAGCTAGGACAAATTTCAAGGGTATTAATTTCTAAAAATAGAATTTGATTTTGAAGTACAAATATCCTAGTAGTTCAGGAAGAAAAGACAAGAAATGGTGATTTAAACAGATTAACTTGTAATGACATGATAGCTCCTACAGCAGGATGCATGTTGTAAGTGACCCTCATTCAGGTACAATAACCTTAATGGACAACAGTTCAATGACCTCATTCTATAAATGTTGACTATCACAATTTGGATTATGTATATCCTATCACATAATTCAGTAGCCTCATCGGCAAGTCTATAATTCTATTTAACAAAGTTTGTTATTAACTTATTTTTTTTTTATAGAAGGAAAGATTCATGTTCAGTTACAGCTCAGAAAATGACCACATGAACAATATAACTGGCAAAAATGAATAATCATACTGTGTTTACTTTTGTTTTAAACTTTCTTTTGCTAATCTTGATTTCACAATATTATGAAATATCAAAACATTAAGGATGCATGCAACTGACAAAATGATAACTGCCCCAAACGTTTCCATAAATGTAGGTTCATCCACAAAAGCTGGGGTTCTGTGATATTTTTCTATATCTAAATGGACTCCATCAAGCTGCTTCTGGGTGACAAGAATTATACAGATGTGGAAAATCTGATGGCTATGTCCAACAAAGTCGAACTTTCCAGGGAAAAATCGTTGAGGAATGTCAGAACCAAAGAAGAAGCCAGCCAAGGCAAACCAAACCATCTGAGCTGTGTGATGATAGAGACTTACGTCCTCGCCATCCTTATCCAAAAACAAACGATGTAAAATTGGAAGGGACAGCCACAAATAGATGCTTCCCACTGAACCTATTTGCCAGATCTTCCTTGTAAATGGATATGGACGTTTGTAGAATACCTTAGAAATGCTGCAACATAGACACACTAATGCAGCTAAAATTACCCCAACTGGAATCGATAAAATCTTTAAAGCTGAATTTAGCATAGTGTCATGGATGCAATAAGCATAATGCATGATAGTGCTCCCAAAGCCAAATATACCAATGCCAGCATAATCTATCATAAATCCAGTATAATGGACTTGCTCTGATTTGTTGGAAAAGCAATGTGCACATGTACTGCAGAGATACATGATTATCATTGTTATTAGTCCAGCACTAAGGGGCCACATATGGGGATCTCCAATTAAGTCATACTGATTAGCAAACTCCAAGCACCTGGAAATTGTCAACAGTAAACCAATGAGGTGTGTCCAAACATTCATACACTCATTGTGTTTTTGAAACATGCTGCAGACATAATAGCTCCATGGCTGATGAGGATGGCGGAATCCAGTCTCAACATGGGGCTCATGGAAAAGTATTGGGACATCCTCTTTAGTTGTTGTTGGTCTCAAGAGTGAACTTTGTCGTTTGTGTTTCATGATGAAAATTTACTGTAACAAAGAAAACTTTGTAAGCAAACAGATTTTAAAGCATTAAATTATTAAAATAAAAAAATATATATGCAAAATACTTGAATGTACTGAAAATCAAGAGTTATTATCATCTTCTTGCTATAATAGATTCACTACCCTCTTGTTAGCATTCAGTAACGCATATTGAAGTGAACGAAATGAGGGAAAAGATTAAAGAATTTTTAATCTGCAAACTATTAACCAGCAATGCCTTCAGATTATGCAAGCAAGTGACAGAAATCAGCTGATCGATCTTGAGATTATATCATTGTGAGACTGATTCTAGCGACTGAAAATGAAAATAGCAAAGAAACTCAAGGAATGGATACCTGCTACTTTACAATCTCATGAAATGTTGTCCCTAGAATATACTTCCTACTTACTCCTGTCCGCAACAAGTCGCGGTGTGTGATCCGGATATTTCCGAATAAAACTTATCTTATTTCCTTTTTTACTCGTTTAGACAACTTGTACCTTAGAAAGGTTGATAATGGTGAAAGAAGCAGTCTGACTGATTTTAAAAACTTTTGTTACTACGGTTGAATAGGTAAATATGCAGACAGCGTCATAAACTCAGAGGAAACGTTTATGACCATTACGGCTAATTCGAATGAAAACTGTACAAAAATTTGTTACTCTATGGAAAAAGCTGTAGAACTCGAATTTCCTCTGTTTTTTGTTGTTGTTTTTTTTAAATTCAAATGCAAACTTTATTTTTCCTTATTGCTACCTTAATATAGAAGTCCATGTATTTTTTGATACATGGTAATTTAATCAAAATAAGATTGTGTGTTAGTTATTACTTCAAACAGGGACCTATATACTAACTGTTAGTGTAGGTCCCTGCTGCAAATATGTCTTTTGTAAAGCAACTAAACATACTAGGTAAAAGTCAGCACTAATTTATTGCCATGTAAGGTTAATTAAATTACATGTTTTCCATTCACCATGTTGACATTTGAACTGATGTAACAGCTTATTCTAGAGAATATTTTCGATATTCTTAAAAACAATATTCTTAAGAAATATAAATATATCATCTCAAGTTAATTCCAAAACTTTTAATATTTTAGTAAAAGGTAATAAAATGATTTTGAAATTTTTGCAAAATGACTAAATTACACAGATTAGCAAATGGTCAAAATTCTTGTGATTTTTCATATGCCCTATTGTTCACTTTTTTAAAATCTTGCACTTTTTTTTAAAATGGTATACCGGTAAATCTTTAAAATTGTCAAGGAGAACGAAGTATAGCATTTTCATTCATATTAAGAAATTATTCATAATGCCATATTTTCATTAGTTTCTTTAATCATTTTATACAATAACAAAGGAGGAATCAGAAATACTATCAGGTGATCCATGCATGGTCAGCCATATCTACGAATTTCACCAACTTCCAATCATTGACTGCTTCACTATTGCCAAATTTGGTTTTAATAATCAATATTAGTTTTACTTCAAAAAATTTTACACCCATGTATAATAACATTAATATTAATTTAATTTGAATCAAAATTCACAACCATTAAAGAGTACTGGTAATTGGTGGGACCATCTGGCATCACATATTTTAGCAGGCCTTTCAAAATCTGCCAGTACACAGTACTTTTACCCTGGCAGCTGAAATCATGATTGTACAAGCCAAAATACTTGATGGAGAAAATTTAATAGCATATTTAATTAAAATCACTTCCAAGAGGTAAGTCCTGTTATTGTAAAAGCACTACCCGTTTTTAATCTTACTGAAAGCCCTGTCTTCATCAAGAAAAGTTAATGGCGGAGTTGCAAATTTTATTTATGTCTATGTAAAGTAAAACTATATAAGGGAATGTATCAAATTATTTCCATCATTGATATTTAGAAAGCTGAGTTCTGGAGGACTTTGTGAAAAGAAATCTAAGTAGTATGAAAGTTAAAAAAAAAAACATGTGAAACTCTAATAATACTGTTATTAACATATCAAGAGGAGTGTTTTAAAGAAAATGCTACCTATAGACAGCAAGATCGAGTGATTTAACCTTCCTGACTCTGACTAAACCTCTTAGAGTTTCTCCAAATTTGTTCTTAAAATCCATCTTTACAATTTTCAATCTTATAATCGCTTAGCCATGACATTTCACAACTGCTCAGCTATGACATCACAACCTAAACTACCAGTGTTATGAAAAGACAGCTAATAGGCAACAGAGGTAAAAGGGGGGAGGGGGGGGGACAAGAAAATATAATAAACAGAAAAATTCAATGCTTTTTAGTTGTATATGAAATTAATTTTACAACTGAGACAGGAAACTTTAATTTAAAAATATTTTTACTCATGCTTTGCACTCATGAAAATTAATATAAAAAGAGTCTTGTCCCCCTTGTGAAATGAATTCCATATCCAATCACAAAGCATTGAATATCCTCTTTGTTTTATCAGTATATTAACATTCAGTTCCTTGTTAATGCAGATATTTTCCACAAACAAGACGTGTTATAAAATGAAGATGCTAGAAATGCTCCCAAGTTCCTTGTTCTATTTTGAGAATTTTCCTAATACCACAGAGTAGAAAACAGATGATATTTACCAAATTTATACAAAGTATTGTCAACATAGAACATAAGACAGTAGATTAGCAACATAAATAAGGGAATTCCACATTAACATGCAAACATAGAGACTCACCTAGTTTTATTAAAGCTAAGTAAGTGACACATCCCCATGCAGTGGCAAAGAATAAAAGAAAATGCTCTCTTCCTTATTGTGTTAATGTATCTAGTAAAGAAATCAGATACTTGAAAAGAGGTAATGTATCATATACATGTATGTATTTTGAAAGAGAATGATTATGTGGACTAGCTATTAATTGAATCATCAATCTTTGATCATTCATGTGAAATTTTTTTTTTTAATTTTATTTTTTAATTTTCTTTTTTGTTTGAATAGTTTTAATTTATTTAGATTTACTCCAAAATATTTACATGTATTCCATGCAGACTTGATTTTTTTTTGGGGGGGGGGTGTTTATTTATTTGTTTGATATATATTTTCTGTCAGTTTTACCTCTTTTGTTGTACCTTATCAAGATTCAATAAGAAGAAAACAAATTTTTTTAAAAAAATTGTTAACTAAAAAGATAGATGGATGGGTACCTGATTTTTTCATCACACACATTTTAAAAAAAAAAAATTGTGGAAAGTCCTTTACTACAAAATTAGCAAAATTTATTTAAATTCCTGTTTCAAAAACCAGTGCTTGGTGTATTATAATGTCATTCTACACACACATCCTTTAATTCCAGAGCTGTAGTGGAGGCAAGCAGAAAGTCATTAAAACCTTGAGAGACATATTTATAACCAAGACATATTACAGGTAACTGCAGGTATGTTTTATACATTTGTATTCTAATTATATAAGTGCTTTACATATTTTAAAATCATTTTTACAGCATTTTACATATTTTAAAATCATTTTCGCAACATTTTACTTATTTTAAAATCATTTTGCATGTAACATCAGTAGTCACATACTAAATGAATTAAATAATTTGACTCTATTTTGCACAGTATGAACGAGTGCTCCAGTATTATATAAATCCTGAATATTATCAGTTTGAACACTTCTTCATTTTTGGGTAGTAAAGGTATATATTATTGTGAAAAATGGTTTTGAGCATTGTTTAATTATATTTAAAGGCAATGTATCGGGTGTTATAGGGACCCCATAGCCATTGCTTTTAGGACTCCATTGGAAATAAGCCCTGGAGCTTTAATGGGTTATCCTGGTATCATCTAGTCACAGTATTTATATTTCTAAAAAAATGGTTACCTGAATATTTTATTCATTTATAAATATATTAGACAATTATTGCTGTTTCTTAGGCCAATGTTTATTTAAAAATTTAGCCACCTGAGGAGTACAATATTCACCAAACCCAAAGGGCAAGGTGAATATTGTACTTTGAAGGTAGCTAAACCATCATATTGACTGAAAAAAAAGCAATAATTGTTGTATTATATGATTTAATGATTAAATGATAGAGTTTGTTCAGCAAAAGCATTAAGAGAAGCAGAGATCAGATAAACATAACAGCTACATAAATTTGGAATTGTTAATCTGTATTAGGTGCAATGTAGACAAAAAATGTCAGGCATATAGGATCAATTTTTTGAGGGGTATGAGGGGAAAAAATTGACAACTTACCTGAAAAAAAAATCTTTGACAAGCCCCCCCCCCCCCCCCCCCCCCAAAAAAAAAAGAGAATTCTCCAACTCCAAATTTTATGGGGGACCAGCCTTTCATTGAACAACATTTTTATACTAAATTAATAGTAAAAAATTACATTCAGAAAAAAAGTGTTGGGACTTGGGAGGGGGCAAGCCCCCTTCACTATCTCTTCCCGATTCTATGTACCTGAATGTTATGTTCTCCTGAGTGGAAGTCAGGTGAGTGAATAACTTTCAAGAACTGTTTGTATCAATTTGGAAGTTCTCAATCTATTTTTAGTCCAATGTAGGAAAAATAAATCCTAATGTTCACCTGGAAGGTCACGTGCAGGTGAACATAACATAGTATTTTTTTCTACATTGTTGGATTTCAGCCAATCAGAGAACTAGGAATTATTCAATCATATAATGTCTCCTAAATATATATGTCTTTCAAATGATTTATTATTACTGATAAATATAAGTCATTGTTTATATGTGATTAAATGACGATGATGGTGCTTTGAATGCTTATACCTGTACAACTGGTCACTGTTTAGAAAGAAGCCTACAGTATTGATCAATGTACTGGTAATACATTAACCTGTAGATGGAAATTCTACTGAAATTAATTATATTTGGCAGTGATGCAACATCTCTTCAATTTTTAAAAATTAATACGTCCTCAACTGCACATAATTATGATTACGCTGTGGTGAGGGCCTATCATAAATTTTACAAGACACTACTTAGAATATTTTATGAGGAGAAAAATTAACTGTTATCCAGTACTTCTCACTTACTGGTTTAATGATATAATGGAGATATACCTAAGATCAGGAAATGTTTTCTGAGGAAATAATGGGAAGTTTGAATTGGTTTATCAACATTAGGGCATCATATAGAAGTGAACTGCAGATTTTTGATAATTTTTTTCTAAATATATATTTAAAATATATTTTTAAAAAGTTCATGTTTGAGTCCTTGTACCAAGGTTGACTTTGGTCATCATATGTTCTCAATTTTTCACCATCATAAAATAAAAAACAAAAACGGAGTACTTCCTTGTCAATGAAAGTTCTTGCCTGTTAAACATTTGAATACATTACAATTTAAATTTTTCAAGTAGTACTTCTGAAATCTCTTTAATTCTTAACCCTTAACCCTTGAGTTTTTACAAGGAAACCTGAAATTAGTTCTTTTTTTTTTGTATAAAAGTTGGAACATTTATCTAATTATTAATTTTGAATGATGATTAAATGTCTTTACACTTGATGCTTGCCAGCAATGAATCACAGATGTGTAATCTACTATTAGTTTACATTAATGAGAAAAGCTCCATTTTCTCTTGCTTTTATATTTCAATTATAAAATATTATAGCAATCCACCCATATCTGTATGAGCTGAAAAATTACACCTCATAGCTTTGTACACATCAGTCTCGCTTCATTAACAAATTGTGTGAAACATTGTCGAAAGTTCATATAGACAGAGAGAAACCCACGTCTAAAAGTCAAAAGGCCTGCACAAATGTCAACCGTTCTTTGTTGGTTCAAAACGTAGTGGGAGTGGAGCGTGGTAGCAAAGAGAGGGCGATTTTTCTCTAACATATAAGATGTTGGCAACATTAAATGCTGCGGAATTTGTGTAGATTTACTGATAACAATGAAGTAAAACCATGTGGATGTAAAAATCTGGCTGTGCATTATCAGAGGCAGAAAAAATTTCTGTGTGCAGGATAAAAATCCATCATTGATTGTGGGCATGTCACGGTCCAGTGAGTATTCATCTCTAATAATAACTGCCGTTATTGTCATTTTCCTCTATGATTGTTTATTTTTGTGTGGTTTGTGTGTACGTTGTATGGGTTCTGGATTTGATAACCAGAGGTAACTGCCCTTTTTGTACAAGTATTGTCCTGATAATTGAGGAGATTAGGTGTGTAGGTTTGTATGTAACAGATTGCTACAGATGTGTTTGATTTGTGTACATAATGGCAGTGACAGCTATATGTTGACATCTTGTTTTGTAAGGAAACAAGACTTTTAGGTCTTACAGTGTTTATATTCCTCAGAAAATGCTGTTTTAACTTACCATCTGATTGTTTTGCATTTGTATTGAACTAAATGTATAGTTCTTTAGGTTTTTTTTCGCAAAAAAAGATTATGTTTATCTATAGGGAGGTTCCAAATTCCATTTTGTCTGTTTGTGTTATCATGTGGAGGTACTAAGATTAATTCTTTGGCTATTATTGATGTTAATTTTTCTTCCCATTGCCATACATCTTTACTTTGCAATGAGACATGTCTTTTTTTTTTCATCCATGTTTCAAAAATCTATTTGGATTACTACACTGCTACAGTACAGGCCTTTTTACTTGAACAGGTGTAGTGTAATCAGTCTCAAGTTTTTCATAAGATATCCAGGAAGTGGAATACTATTAATTTTTTTTGTAGCTAGTATTTAAAAAAAAAATTGAAAATTTCAATGATTTTGAAACATATTCAAAATTAATATGCATCGGGAAAGTTCCATAGCTTGTAATGGTGAGTGTTTATAAAAAGTTATTGAGATACATGCTCATTGAACAGCTGATCAAAGGTTTTCAAGTTACAGTATTAAACATTTGAAGATTGCTAATTTCATGATAAATATCTACATAACTGGAATTCCCCTCACAGTCAATCTCTTGTATCTTTTAATTTGACCTTGGATCAAGGGCAAGGTTATTCGTTAGAATAAGAACTTGACCTAGTTGATTTAATTATTTTGACATACATGTGTAATTTTTTTGATGCCAGAGTCAGGTTTGTCTTCAGCATTTCGTAGAAAGCAAATGAAAAATTTTGGACCCACAGTCCACTTGGATTGTGTATTTAAAAACCCGCCTATTTTTTGTGCTTTTTGCTTAGATCTTCATTAAGGGTAGTTAGGATATGCTTTTAAAAAATAATATGTCTTCAAATGCACACTTTTGATCAAGGGCAAGATTATTCATTAGAATAAGAACTTGGCCTATTTGGTTTAATTCTTTTGATTTTAATGAATAGTTATCTTAGTACTATTTTTAATTTTCATATCTTAAGGTTCATTGATACTCTGATAAGAGAGATAACTCTAACTGGTATAAATGACAATTATTCCTTTTTAAAATTGTAGAGTTTACTGGCCATTTCTGTCAAATTTTACCCCACAAGGTATGCTGAAATTGTGTGCATTTTAATCATAGATTAGAGTTCTTTTGGATAATCATAAACAAGAAGGAAAGATTTAATATGAACGAGCAGAGAGTGGAGGAACCTTAAGGAGGCTGGGAGGTCAACAAATTAACCATCAGATATAACTTAATTTTTTAGATATGATATCTTAAGCTATCAACTATCATTTGGCAAACAAAAATTTCATACGTTTTAGTTTTAAAATTTGATCTTTTTTGTATATCTTTATATGAAGCTCTTTTTCTAAAGGAGATCAATATAGTCTGGAAATGGCCACAACCACCCAGCCCTCTTAATTGTACATTTTGAGATACATGTACATATTGTTCCTCTAAGCATAGTTAATTGAGGTATGCATTGTATTATGAGGTATGTGAATCGTTATATTCCAAATTAATAATTAAGAGTCTTTTGAACACAAACTTGGACCATAAATGACAGTCCACCGTGATTTCTCAAATTCTGCATAACTAAACTGTCATATGCCAACTTTAAAAAAAAAACATTTGATGGTTGATTTGACAGTTCAATGAGCTAATTTCCAATGAAGAAGCTAATCTTTTTGCCAAAAAGCTTTTATCAATAACAAGATATGTTTATTGATATATGAATTTTTTATTAAACTGAAAAAACTGTGTGAATAAACGAGGAAAACAGGTTTGATTGCAATATCAGATTTATTGATTTGGCAAAACAATTTCCTGTCAAGTAAAGCAGTAATGGTACATCGTCTTTTGAAACTCTGACCCATTTATTGATCTAATTGAATGAGAATTTTCAAATCAAATCCTGTATGCTTTTGAAATGTTTGTTCTTTATAAATGATGCACATTTTAAGATTTGAATCTGATATCATTCATAAGCCCATGTCTTTGTCAGAATGACTATGCATGGACATGCAGAAGATATGTAAGTAGTGAACTATTTTAAAATGAGGCTTAGCAATCTTAAATTACACTTTCTTTTATTAAATAGAGCTGAAATGTTTTTTAAGAATTAGATTTATTCTGACCACGGGATGTATTAAATGGAGGTATTTTGGCGCTTAAGGTGTAAAGAGGAGACATTTAAGAATAGAAATGTGAGAAATTTGATTGACTGGGCCCTAAAATACTGCCATTGTAGACAAAACAGATGGAGCCTCGTATGACTGTAGGGCTGTATTAATTACCTGAGGAAGATAAAGGTGCAGTTTATATTTATCACAATAATTATGTCAATAAAACATAAGCGCGACTGGTGAAGTCAGTGAATGTCAAACGGCTCTAAGTCCCTGTGGGATCAAGACTGAGTAAACACTGCAGTACATTGTATGATCCGGGAATATGACTGCACAAAATCTATTGTTTACCTTTGGGCAAGGCTATTTTGTGGATGAATGAATTTGTACTAATGCAGATTTTTACACTAGGTAAATCGATCAAGCCAAAATTGATATTTAAATCGCTAATGAAGATTTTGAATACAGCACATGTCACATTATATGAATAAAAAGACAATACAGGGAAGAATGGAAAGAGAGAAAGAAGGCAAGTTGGAGTTGAACAAAATGCATCATTCCCTGGTTTAAAGCAGACGGCTGTTGATTATGGTGGAGAAATCAATATGCTGGATAATTCCCATTTCCCAGCAGCTTAGGATGAGGGAACAAAGTAATTGCGCCACAAGTGAAGATGACACTATGGTTTCTCAGTGAAAAATTTCTGTGATGATGGTTGTATTTTTTTAGTGACAGTTTTTTCACAATAAGGATATCATCAATCTACTACTGTGTACATTATGACAGTAAATGAAACAAAAACATTTGAAGGAGGAAATGGTAATTATGTGTGTTAATCGGGTGACAAGCTTATCTGATGTGACCTTCCTCGTAATGGGATAATTACTGTTTTTCATTGAGTTGTCTGACCAGAGGGGATAGAACTATTATCTCTGCTTGTACCCACACACTGACAACAAAGAGGGGAGGTGAGAATCGCTCAGACTAATTGACCATGACCAACTCTACAAATTCTTCAAAGACTACATACCCTATAGGAGATGTGGGTCTACCACACCTAGTCTATCTGACCCACGAGGGAACACTGACCAGTATCTGTACACATCGCCCACCCCCACAGACTTACGAAGGTGACCAGACTTCCTCCCAGCGCTGCTGGGGCTGGCTTTATTCTTGCTGCTGCTGCCATTTTAAGACCATGAAACTGTCCCATGCCAAAGGCATCTCAAAACGTCTCTCTGAGGTATTGTCATGTTCATGTAAATGATTTTAATGTGAGGCTCTGTAACAGGGGTAAGGGTGTGTGTGTGTGTTGAACATTCTCCTTGTGTATTACCCAGTAATAACAGTACCTATAACGTCATAAATGTAGCCTGTTCATAAATTAGTCAAATTTCTTCACCCGATTTGGACGATGGCCATTACTTTGTTGTGTTACTTGTGTAGTATATAATTATATAAGAACCCTTATGGGCTAAGGCAATAATTTTCACGACTTGGCTGCACACGCCTTTGATTCAATGATTTCCTTATTTGTTTAAAATGCTAGAGGGAACACCATCCTATTTTCTAGTTATTTGGATTAAATTGTATGTTTGGGAGTAATCCTTTGTTTGTTTATCTATTGTTGAAGTTTAATTCGATTCCTATACAGAGACATGCAATTATAACACGTAATGTGATTTGCAATAGAAATCCTCTTTAAGTAATCCTCATTTTTGAATTGACAGTTGACCTAGGTTCTGGATGGCCGCCTCATTCTCATGTATTTACGAACATATATGTATATTTAAAGCATCAAACCTTAATTACATACAATAACAGACTTCTATCTGTGGTATTGTAGATTTTCATTAACAATGTTTGCCAGTCTATTGATCATAAGACAGCCTCTATGTGATCTGTGACCCTCTTTTTGCAAATTTTTAAGGATAAGCTCCAACAGATCTACCAAGGAATGGATTATCTTTGCGATATGAATGGAATACATTGATTGTTAGTATAAAACCCCACTTGATCATTGATCCACATTTCTGATTTTCTGCACTTTAAATTTCATTATAAACTGTTTCATGTGGGTTTTTTATTTCATATCTATTAACCACAAGATTTATGGACATGAACTGACAATGGGGTTAAATTAATAATTCATATATAACTTGATCGAAGTATGGCACCTTCTTTGACAATTGTTTGTTTGTATGTCTGTGAGGCAGGAAAGAGAAGCGTATGGTTTTTGTGAATAATATAATTTAGCTTTCCCTAAACAGCAGGATGCGTTATGAGAAAATCTGGTTTGCAGTGGCTCAAAGTTTGCTGCCTGTAATTGTGTAACAAGGAATGTGGGCTTCACATTATTATGTGAATTTTTTTTTCTGAAAACCTAATCATCCATCAATATTTATAATGTGTTATTTCTTAACTTGTCAGGCAGATTGCATTGCTGGGCCTTCAGTATTGTATTGATCATTGTATGGGCTTTGTTATGAATCATAAAAAATAATGCCTAGCTCTTTTCAGTATCGTCCAATGGGATAGTTAAAGAAATTGGCACATTACAAAAAACAGGAACTCCAGTTATTGTGTTCCTTAAAAGATTTTTCTAGTTTGTTTTATATTCAATGGTAAAAAGGTATATTTATGTTAATTTTGAAATTCCTCTTAAATTGTTTACAGCATATATAGTAAAACTGTTTAGTATAGTAATTATATGTGATTTAACATTTTTTATAACCCTCTTTGAGTTGCCATGCACCTAATCAAACCAAAACAAGTTGCCAGAAAGAATACTAAAAAAAAAAAAACAGGAATGCACAACTTGACTATAAAGACCAGAAGTAGCTGTAGGTGATGTGGCACAGGGTCAATATATCATTGTAAACATGGATTTTGGCAACAGTGTACTGTACTGTAGTGTCTTCTTGTCAAAAAAGATTTTGTCTTGTCAGATTGATAGATTGAGAAAAACAGTTCCAAACTAACAGCTATACAGTTGGCTGGGTGAGAATTTGATTTTTAGTTTGATTAGGATTAATGCTGTCCTCTAATTACAATGCATGTTTTCAGATTGAAAGCCCCCCCTGCAAAATAGGAAGATGCAAATGTTTGTTCATCTTTCTTATACATGCAAGGAGGTTTAGTGTTGGAGCAGAGGATCAGAAATATGGTTAAATGTTGTGAAATATTTAGTTAATTTTTCAAATATGTGTCAAAATTGTAAATTTTTGTAATGTTTTAATTTCATCAGTGATAGGTAATTACTAGATAAATCTTCAATGGACTAAATCATACCAAAAAACCTCAACATTTGCATGATTTGATACTTTAAAATGAGATTTAAATCATATATTTCCTATGCTCAGAGTGGTACAAAATTAAACAAAGACAATTATTTTCATCTGGGGAGTAGGATTGATGATTTATTTATTAATACATGTAATCTGTCTTGGAAGAGAAGACTCATTTCGGTTTCAAATGTTATTGAAGTTTGTTCCTTGTCATCGTCTCAAGCCACGGTCCGGAGTCCGTATATAGCTCTCTCCTACCCGTGGCTGCTTGATCACAAAAAGTTTTGTTATCTTGAATATTTACGCCTCTATATTGTGATGTCATGTTCAGCCAATGACAATATTTGTTTCCATCGCAATTGAAGTAAACAATTGACATCAACAGTATACAAGATATATTTCGTATACTGCAATTGGGTATTTAAAGGTCGCATCAAAGTTCATTATCCGACTATGCTGTAGTCGCATTGGTCAATATTTTAATGAGCTGTGAAGTATTCTCTTATCATTCAACCACGGCCAGAATGGGAGAGGATCGTACACTTTGGCCATGGTTTGTGACGATGGTTCCTTGTCATATCAGTATTAAAGTGATCAAGGAAATTACATATACTTGCATTATAATTAACAAGTCATTTTATACATACATGTGTCTAATACTTGCAGACACTATGGCAGGAAAATATTTTTGGGCAACTGATATTATACCCTGATATAATTCTTTTAATAAGGAAACATTAATTTGAGACAATAAATATTACCGTGTGTGTGTTCCGAGAAATTTAGCTAAACCTTGTAAGAAATCAGTGGCGAGCCTACACTTATATATGAGATTAAGACTATAAGTGAAAGGAATTTGGAAACAATTGAGATGAAGAGGTTAGTGTCGAGTGGCTTTTTGTTTTAAAGTACTTATGTACTGTCGCTGATGTTACTCACTTTTTACTGTGTTGACAGTAAGTTAGGCGACTTGTGTGAGTACGGGGGGTAAAATGATTCTCGGATGCTTTTGTTCCACATGTTACGAGGACACTGACGAGGTCTGTTTTTGATTATAGGCTGTTTTCTAGTTCCAATCAATTTTCTTTGGGTCAACATGATTTATGCTAAGTTCACAGATTTTCATTTTTTTGTATTTGTACAGAAAAATTTCTTTTAAACTTTGCTTCGGTATTTTGTTAAGCCTTATTTGATTCGAGTTCCTTAGTAATTCTTGAGGAAATGTAACAATATACATATAAAGCAGTAGATTCACAAAAGAACCTTCATTTTAGTGATGGCTGCAGTTCTGCTAACTGGTTCAGCTTATGGATTCTGTTTTATAACTGTTTATTTATGTTTAAATATGACCAAAAACTTAGTCAGATACTCTGCATATGACCTGATCTGCCAGTGGTGCAGTACTGCTACATTCATCACTTTATTAACTGTTAGTCATACATGAATGCATTTCTCCGACATTTTTTTGGCAGTTTGTTAACTGTTTATTACATTTTATTCTTTCTGTCTCCATTTCCCTGTGAAACACGTGCTTATAGCAATGGCATGCCATTCTTTTTCTATAGTAATAGTAATCCATCAATTCTCAAGTTGCCATTCATTGTGTTATTTATTTAGAAACATATCAATGTATTTTAAGAGGCTGTCAAAACAGAGCTAGCCTGCTATAAGACAGGTGGCCTAATCTGTAGTGCTAGAAAAGTACCCCCACTGCTCACATCTGGTGAGATTTCTTGGTGTCTGGTGAGAGATTAGGGGGTCACCCCTAGCCATCAGAGTGGGCCTTTTACTTACATATCTAGTGTGGGAGGAGCCAGTCAGAATGTGGGTCAACAGACATATTCCGGAAGTTATTTATACAGTGGGGATATAAATGGTTACTGGCCAGTGTAAGTGTTGTTTACTTGTTTACATTTTGTGTATTGGATCTACCTGTGATCGGGTCATGGGGGTCTGAGGTTAGAAAAGGAATTTGCCAGGTAAAATAAACAGCTCACTTCTACAGATGTGTGAAAGGGTCATGTTACAAGAATTCCACATGTGCAAGTGTTGTTGTGTGTGTGTATTCATGCAAGGTGTGGTTATTGTGTTACCTATCTAATGTTTAGTCATTCACAAAATCATTGAGAACTTATCATTAGACAAGCTTCTGTGCCATCAGCTTGTCTGTAGTGGAGCTCTCCCGTGTTAAGTCTCAGATAGAAATAGCCTATGTGAAATAATTTCAAGTCCCTCTAAACAGCACTTGGGAATAACTGTGACTTGATTTGCTCCTAAATGATAGTTTTCACAATTAGATATATTTATGGAAATGAGGAACTGATTAGGAAGATGTGAAGGAAACTGCTGAACTTAATAATATGAAGGGTGTAAACTAGATTCCGAGTATAGTCCTCGGTACCAGATAAAGAACTCGGCTTATAGGAGCTTAAATTATATACAGGGTGATACTGTGATCTATTATATATTATATAGGAGCTCAATTTCTAAATGGTGATATAGTGAGATCATGAAGAACTTTGTTTAAAATGTGATTTACTAGACATGTATGGAAAATTGTAAGTGATTGATTTATAGAATTCATATTTTAGTCCAGAACGTGAACTACCATATTGTGTTGTTTATTATTTTTTGCTCATAGATTTGTATTAGGTTTCAGAAAATAGGCCTGCACAAGGATGATAGGTCATTTATAAATTGGAATATATTGTATAAGAAAAAAACACAGCTATTAGAAAACTCACCATGACTTGTTGACTTTGCAACCCGCTGATTCAGGTTGTGGTTTTGTCTTTCAGTTTTATATAGCAGATGATTTAAAGGATAGTCTGCACATTCTTTCACAACATTACAACACTTTGTGTATGTTCTTATCCACCCCAAACTTTTTTTTTGTTATTATCTGTGTAGTGGAAAGGACTTAACCGATCAAGATCCACTACTTGATGGTGTATCTTTCTGTCTCTCGAGAGTCTACAAGCTTGAAAGTTTAATACACCATCCAGTTGATGGAACACATATAAGTTTGTACGTGATAGTACCAGGTATTTATAAACCTGTATTGTCATTAATAGCCGAACATTTTCCCTCTTTCAGATCGCACGATGGAGTAAACTCTGGAAGATTATACAAGATGAAGAGTGTGAGCAGTGCTCCGATTTAATTGACGCCGAAAACGAGAGTGACCTACGAGTCAAACGTTTCCTGATGGACAGATCCATCCTCAAAGTCCACCTCCCAAATGGGGGGTTCAACATGGTGAAATATGGAGATGCTACGGATGTCAAGGTGAGCCTAATTGCCTTTTAAATATAACAGTAGAGATTATATCAGGAAATAGGGACTATTCAGGAAACAGAGAGATGACAGACATTGTCTTCAGTCATGTAAATAGTCAAAAATGGCCATTGAGGGCACTTTAGTACTCAAGTGTCCGTGAATGGCCACAATTTTACAACTTTTATGCAGAGATTTCTAGAAACTCATTAGCCTAGGAATGATATTATTATCAGCATTTCATGGGAAAATATTTCCAGGAATTTTTTTTCTTGGCAGTAAGTGTCTTTTTAAAATCATGATTAAGTGAATTATACATGTAGTATAGAGTAGCAGAACATGGTTTGTAAAGATGACTTAACGGCAAGGAATTTAGTGCATGACATTAGAAATGTGTAGCGTTTAGAGAATTTCACTAGTATTCTAGATCACTTCTTGTATCCACATATCCTGACAATGCAGAAGAATAGATTTGTAAAGCATTTCAAGTTCTACAAAGAACTTTGGAATTCAGAAATCTGGAGAATGAGCTTGTTCATAGCTTAATCTGAAATGGAGTGTTATGGTGCAAAAATCAAATTTATTAGAGAGGATTTAGTGCATATCTCTGTATCTAAGCGATGATGTTGTATCATATGTAATATCTCACATATTTCTGAACACATCTGAATTGATTTTTCCTTTTTCTAGATTATGGTAAGCCGGGATATCTGTCTAATGTGTAGTGGTATATTTTATGACCTTTTTGCACTGGCTTGATGTGAACATTGCTGATTTTCCCTGTCACGGGGACCTGCATGAAAGGGTCCAGTTTTTGTTTTCCACAACCCATGTATAGCTTTATGGATATTTTTTTTTTCCTTAAAAAATTGGCTTTATTTTCCCATTAATCAGGTGTTTTTTTATGTTGGGTCCTTTTCTTTTAATGTAATTTCCCCATTTTCCTCTTAAACCTATGTCTGTTATGGATTTTAAGTCTTTTTTCTTTGAATAACCCAGTATTGAATAATAGTAATTTTTTTGTTCAAAGATTTGTAAAATTTTGAAAAATTTTATTGAAAATTGGTCATTCAGTATAAAAATGTGTTTGTTTTGGTTTTATTACCAAAAATAAACTTTTAGCTGAATGCTTGACTCTGAAATTTCCTTCCCCAATTCCCCCCCTTCAGACTCATTGTGGTAATAAATTGAATAAATTGAGTCTTACCATTCTGGTGACAGGGCTAAAGTGGTAATTATCATGTAAGTGATGCACTTTGTAGTTACAAATCACATTGATGTACCCTTTAACCTAAAATAAAAAGCAATTTCCATGTTGTTAAAAGCATTACCGATTTTTAATTGAACGCAGGTAAATCAAAGTGTAAACTAATAGAGAGGGAGTTGTTTACCATTAGTTGTTTTGTGTGACTCATACAGTCTAGGGGAAACCGTCAGGTATAATAAGCAAAATATATTGATTTTAACCACATAGCAAGTATTTTCAAAAAAGGGACCCATAGGAAGTCGGGACGTGTTACATGAGTCAGATATTAACCACACGTGGGGTCTTACTATGCAGTTTTGTCGCATGTGTATAATTATGTTGATTTGTGTGTTCTCATTTATTGTGTCCTAACATGTTTTATATCTTTCATATTTTGATTTGTGCGTCTTTCTGTTTTGTTACACCAGTTTATGTGTGGGTGAAATATGTGATTTGCATGTTGGTTTAATGGGTAATGTCATTCAAGAACTTGAAGGATATATACCCAGGAATCATGGGTACTTAACTTGAGTTACATTCAGTTTTTTATGTGCATGTATAGAGATCATTACCATATTTAATCACTCTAATGAGTTCAAGACGTACACTTGTACATGTAGCTCACTGTTATGCACACTGGCACACTGGTTTGATAAAAAAAAAAGGATTTATGTTCCCAAGGTGACAAAACACAGTTATTAATTAAGCCATCTTTATTTTAGTTCATCTGAATCTGACATCCATGACAAGGTCAAGGACACACCTTGTCAGTATTATACCTACACTGCACAACTAAAAAGACAAATATAAGCCTCTTGTAATTCCCTAATGGCAGATCATATATTAAAGTCAAGATTCAGGAGTGTAGTAAAATCCTAATTAATACACTATATAAGATGATGTTTTAAAAGCTATGCATAAAAAATTGTCAAACTTATGAATTACTACAAGCTAGTTTATCCTGCCTCTGATAAAAAAATTTGAAATTTCATTGGTTGAGAAGAATACTGTATAAAACCATATCATGCTGCCTACTGACATGATATTGTTAATATGCCCCCTCCACATGACCTACTGACCCAATATCATATCAATATATCCCCTCCATGTGACCTACTGCTTTCAAGAAACTGAAACCTCTCAAGGAGCTTAATAACTGAAGGTCACATTAGCATCAGACGATGTCACAATGTAAACAATTGTCAAGGAATGGTTTGCTTCACTCAGGAGAAAATGAACTTAATAAAATCTTTGACAGGATAAATTTATTATGTAGACACTTAGAGGGGTAATATGGAAATATATGGAGTCCTTGAAAAATGCATATTGGGCTCGAGCAGCTTACAACTGGCCAAATATGTTTTTTTCAAGAACCCCATGAAGCCTCGCCCAATATGCATTTTTTCAAGGATCCCATATACTTACGTATTAACCCTCTAAGTGCCTACGCATAACTAATAATAGCCCTATAGCTTCAACAATAGTAGCCTCAGATTTTTTTCCTATATTTATTTTTAACACAAAACCCATTGTTTGTTCTAATCCTATTGTTTACAGTGCACATGTCTTCCTCCTGAATGTCTTAAAAAAGGAAACAACTTTTAATTTATATTGATTTTTGTATGATTTGAAAATTTGAGTATGCCATTTTATTTAATAACATGTTATTTTGATTTTAATTTATTGTGTGCTTAAGGGTGTGTGCATGTTTTCAGAAAATCATTAACTAAGTGTAACCATACCTATTCATCTAGGTTTTTTTAAAAACATATGCAGAAAATTCTTAAATAATATTTCAGTTAACAGCAAGACAACTTTAATGTAGCAATGATAATTCTGTGTGTGTTTAAGTTACAAAAAAGGAATAATAAAAGTTTAAAGCATTTAAGAAATTTATTTCATAATCAAGGGCATGTTTTTTTGTTTTTCTCCTAACAAAGGGAGAAAGGGTTGGTTAGTATTAGTTAGTACGAGAGTACTTGGGGGAGGGGGGTATTAAAGTTCAGCCTAAAAACTGACTTAATCTATTAAGGGGTCAGGGAATTAATAAAGTAGAGGGTAGTAAGGAATCGTAGACTAAGCAGAATGAATTAAGGAATGAATTTATATATTGGGTTAGGAGGAGTTGAGGAGTCAAGTGTAGTATGTAATAGTTTAATTAACCATAGTATGACATTTTTTAGGTATCAGAGTACATTTAACATATGTTTTATGTATATTTTTTCTGTTTTCTTCTAGGACATCATCAAGCTAGTAGTAGGCAGATTAGCTGCAGGAGAACGATATTATTCCAAATGTTATGCCCTCAAACTGGTACACCTACAGTCCAAAGAGTCCTACTGGCTACACAATAATCTGTCCATGTACCAGGTCAGGCAGAAGTACGAGTCCTCTCACCCACCTGAAGAATGGAGGTAATGGCAATATGAAAATATGTTGAGGAATTTCAGAAGCCCTATTATTTTTACACAAATTTTCCAAATCATAGTTGTGTATCCTTAAGATCACAGTTTTTTTTTTCTCTCCACTTGTGTGTCTGTGTATGGAGAAATTTAAATATGATAAATGCTCTGTATCAGACAGAAAACTCCCATGTTTGGCTGAGATCTTAATTAAAACCATGCATATCAAGATGAGGTCAAGATGAGGTCATATGATTATAAGAGGTCAAAGATGAGTAGGAATTGGTCATCATAACAATATACCACTGGCTTTGATGAGGAGAGTTTTGCAAATACATCAAATTTTTCAAAAATCCATTTGGAGGTGTTAATTATGAATCGAGTTTTTACAATAAATATTTTCTGTTATGATTCAGTGAAAGCTTCATACATTTGGTGCCAGTAGCATTAAAAAATGGCTGTAAATTGAGTGTACAAAGTGCATTAGGATGACTCCCAGCCAAAATCTGATAACTAAAGTGTAATGTGTTAAAGTGGATTGAGAATTTTTAAGCATGTTTCTGGTGACTTGTAAAAGAACCACCCTATATCTGTATGATTTCAAGCACTTACTGGAAGCTCTGAAAAGCAGTGTTTTTGCAGATAGCACCTGCCTATTGTTTTAAATTTTTACTTTATTCTCTATTTTTATTTAGGTATGAGTTGAGGGTCAGATATTTACCAAAGAATATAGCGGACCTATACACCAGAGATAAAGTGACCTTTTTTTACTTATATGACCAAGTAAGTGGATTTGTTTATTTCCTGCTCTAATAATTTTATTAAATCATATATATAGAAAAAAGTTGTTAGTAGTTTTTTTTAGTACATGTAGTGAATCATATACTCAAACAGCAGTACAATCATGAGTTGTTTGTTCCCATACTTTTGTTTTGAATATTAAATAGAAATCTTAGGGTAATAATTACGTCTACTATATTTTCACTTTAAATTGCTACTAGAAGGTAAAATGGTACATACCTGTATGAAATGGAAAAAAAATAAGTTGGACCTGTTTTTATAGGTACGGAATGATTACATGCGAGACATAGCAGAATCCATAGAACCAGATGTTGCTATCCGATTAGGCTGTATAGAAATGAGGTACGGTGAAATTATAGCCAGCAAATTTTAAGTATTCCATATGCACTCATAACTTGTGTAATAATAACTGCAATTATTAAAGATCTACACAGATTTTCTTCTTCCTTGATTATTTTTTACAGACATATTTACTTTTCTGTATTAAGTTTCTTGAAAGGAAATATGGCTGAATACTACTGTTTTAGGAAAATTCAATTGATTTTTCTGATCTTGAAAAATTTACTTAACTTTTTTTCATCAACTAAATGGTTTTAATTGAAATGCAGCCAGTGAGTATGGTGAGAAACACAAAACATTTGATGAATATTTATTTCATTGTAGGAGATTTTTTAAAGATATGCCACAAGTAGCCTTAGACAAGAAATCCAATTTTGAGTATTTAGAGAAAGAGATTGGTTTTAAAAGATTTCTTCCAAAGTCAGTCACAGACTCCATGAAGGTAAGAAGGTCAAAAGAAAAAAAAAGAATTTGATATACATGTACATAAATCCCATAATATGACATTGCCACGATCCACATGTGTAATCTAGCTATTTCCTTCCATGTAAAAAGTGCAGAATATTACTGTATTTGTTGCTTGATGTAGTTAAGACCAAGAAATTAAATCAAACAGGATTATGATACCAATCTTTCCCTTGAAAGGGTACTTTTTATGTAGGGAAAAAAGAGATTAAAATAAATTATATAAAAAGGAAACCTTCTATTTCAACTTCGGTACAAATGTATACTCAACTGAATTTACATATGTAATTGTGTGAACTGTAAGTCATATAACTTGAAAAAAATTGTATCATTTATACCTGGATACACTGTGCATGTATAAAAGTAATGGTAATTCTGAAAGCAAAATACACACTAATAACTGATCTTTTTTCATTTTGTTTTGCAGTCAAAGAACCTTAGGAAATTAATTCAGAACCATTTTAAGCAGTATGCCCAATTGAAGGAGCATGAGTGTGTTTACAAATTTTTTGAGACTTTGGCGACGGTGAACAAGTTTGACCAAGAGAGATTCCGATGTAATGTGGGAGTAAGTAATTTACTGTCAGCTTATACACGTATATATTGGAACAAAAGATGGGAAGTCTGTGGATTTGTTTTTGATAGGAAATATTATTATCAAGAATTTCCATGGGAAAAAAAAAAACACTAACAATTTATATTGATTTAATTATCTTGGGAGTTTCTATTTAGTTATACATGTTTTACCAGGGGGATTCATTTACTTGAATGATAATGGAATTATACAGAAACAGTGGAATTTATTGAGGCAGTGCCTTCTCTTATAATGACTTTATAAATCATAAATGTTTTATGCTTTGTCATATTCTCTTAAACTTCTCTCATTTGTAGTCTACTACTTCTTGGGGCATTTCCATGGAGATTGTGATTGGACCAGAGGTTGGAATAAGCTACCAGACTGAGAAATCTTCATCTGTAAGTGTACAGTAGTACTGTGTATCAGGCTTGTTTCTTTAAATGATATAAGCCACATGATTACCATTAATTACAGTTGAACTTTGGTATCTCGAATACTGATATCTTGAACACCATGGATATGTCGAAGTGATTTGGAAGTCCCAACCCCTTATTCTTAAAGTAGATTTTGCCCTTAATATTTCAAATCCTTGGTTATCTCGATTTTTTTATCTTGGTCCCATCGAGTTTGAGATAACAAGGATTGACTGTATATCTATGCAAGAGGTCTGTATATTATATTTTATGTTAAACATGACTACTTTCAGCCTGTACATATGGCAGACTTTTCTCAAGTGAAGTCCATACAGACCACCACACAGGATGGAAGGGGGATCCTCCAGATTAAGATTGCTGGGGCGGTGGACCCCCTCACTATCACCTCCTCACCCTCAGAGGTGGAGGATATGGCAGACCTCATTGATGGCTATTGTCGCCTTGTCCATGACATCAGTACTTCATTATGGACAAGGAAAGGTGTGTAGTTCTGTCTGTCTGTCTGTCTGTTTGGCTTTTTGTGCTTTGTGTAAGCAGTATAACCATTCCAAGAAAAATGATTCATATCTCTAATTGGATTGTTTCTTTATATATGTAGATTAATAATTTCTCTGGATATGAAATAAAAAAAATTATGCCTTGTCCATATACTTAAATATTTGATATATTATTCTGTACATATTGTGTATACATATACTCAAATGGACGAAGACTTCTAGCTTTATGAATCATATTCTTGGTAAAATGAAATGCATCATCATTTCCTGTGAGAGAAAAAGGAAGATGTTTAAAAAAAATGCAAAAGAAACCTTACAAATTAAATTTACATGAAACAGTGATGGATACATTTTTAATTGGATATTTCTATGGTTAATAATTAGAATAAAATATGTAGGGTACACAATCAGTTCTGCAGCACTGAACTGCTCATTTTGAACATTTGTACTGAATATTTTTTAAATGCAGTTCCTGTTCTATCATTCTAGAACCTGATACATTTATCTTGTCTGAACATCTGAACACCTGCTCAAATTAGTGTGATACTTTAGTCCAAAGTTCATATTCTGAATCGTTCCCTAGTACAGCTTTATTGTATCTAAAAATAGTTTAATAAGAACTGTATAGAATGGTAGAGAAAAACTTACCTTATGTTATTCCCATAGATTCTGAGGAAAGAGGAAACAGGAATAATTTATTTATTGTGAAAATGTACTTGTACCTATATATAAATCTGGTACTTGTAACATCTACAGATACATCTAGAATTGTTGTTGCTTGAATGAGTCTCACTTTGCTCTGTGTTAATGTGTATAGTGTTTCTGTCCTTGTTGACTGGTACATATACATCTGTTTCCTCTGGTTTTATTAATTAAGCTTCTATGGATTGGCAATTATCAGTGGAGGAAGCCCTCACACGCTTAGAAAAAGGTTTGTGATGCATGAACTATGCATGTCACAGAGTTTTGAATTTGACATTATTATATTTCTTTATATTCTTCTTTTACTAACATTTTTTATCATTTTATTTTTACAAATACATTTTGTAGTAGCTATTGCTAACTTAGAATTGCATACATTTGCATTTTTTTTATTACAAGGAAGTAATGGAAAGTCTGCACCTCCAGTATACCAGCAATTCATTATGTTTCCCCCAGACATTCCAATTACGGCATGCTATTTGATTCTGAATCACTTTTAAATACAGATCCTTAGGTGTATATATTTAGGACTAGAATTACCTGATTAATAAGATTATTGGACACAAACTTACATCATTTAGTTAATAAGTCATAAGTTTGGTCACTAGGAAATTTTGAATTTACGTAATGGAAGCATATACACTACATAACTGACATTCCATGTGGTTTGATGACAACACAGGAAGTGATGTCCTTGCCAGCTTCCTGTCTGCTTTTACATGTTCATACTAATGATGTGACCCTTTAATGCTTACATTGTTTATCAATTGCCACTTCAGGGGATAGCATTCCACGAACCCCCAAGTCCAGCATGAAGAAGTCGGGACAAAAAGACATCATCCACCATGACAGTGAGTAGATCCACCCCTTGGCTACCTTTGATCACCTTTATATTTCTCCCACCTGGAGTGTATAGTAATTATTAGCCCCTTTTTACTTGAATGTGGAATGAGTTTATTTTTATTACTCTTTGGTGTTTTTTTAATAATTAGATGGTGTGTGGCTGTATGGCAGATTTTGTTAACTAAACAAATGATACTCTATTTTAATTGATTAAAATTATTGTTGTATTCAGTGCATGGCATGAAGTACACCCATCACACCATCATATCATGTCACGATGTATAACAGTGCTATGTCACGTCTCATTTGTAACCTGTGGTTGTTACAGGGATTTCAGATTACGCTGAGATCGTGGAGGATGAGGGGGATTACAGTACTCCAGCAGGTGAGAGAACATAGAAAACCTCCTTATCTCAAACCCCACCCCCCTTCACTGAAAAAATCCCTCCCACTCTCAAAAATTGTAAGTCTTCTTTAGTCACTGAAATTAGGTACTATCCTCTCTGATCTTTCTGCTCAATTTCCAATCTGAACTCCCCTTGCTTTCATTTCAACTTTCATTTATACATTACATGTACTTGTCTTTTTCTTATCATGTCTCTTTTCTTTATTAAGTTTGCCATTTCTCTCTCTCTCACTTTCTCTCTCTTTAACGTTGTGTTTGTTTTAAAAGTGTCCACTTGTACATTTATAAAAAAAAAAAAAAATCCTTCCTTTGAATTCACTTTTCAAACTATAGTCTTTGTTGATTTTGTTGTTAACATGTACACGATTTTTAACCTTTCTTGTATATATTCTCTCTGTTGTATTTACCTATAAATGTTAAGACTGGAATTTTGATTGTTGTATTTAAGTACATGCATTTTATTTCCTGTTTAGTTTGATAGTATTGATGCTTTCTTTTGATTGCAACATTATTTCATTGAAAACTATCATCTACATGTTCAATTAGGTTCTGACATCAGAGGAACATACAACATTAAATGTCTTTTAGACATTACACCACACACACAATGCAATAATTGTCAATCTTTTCCAAATTCCATTGTTATATCTGAATACTTCTAACTGTAAGCTGATGTCGGTCTTTAAAGAAATATATTCAGTAACACACTAATAAGTGATGAAAAACATTTTTTTTTTTTTTAACTATAATAAAAAATAAAAATTCAGATTATTAATTAAAATCATGTCTTCTGCATAACATGAGGAGACTAATCAGTGACATCTTCTTTAACATCATCATTGACATGTTTTCATGTGTCATAGGCCCTCTGGGTAGCAGACGACGAAAGAAAAGTGAGTTGTGCGACTGCGTGCATCGTGATCTGTGTACAAACATGCATGTCTGGTCCAAAATAATTAACAAGTTTATCATATTTACCTATAAACCCCTAAATCATATTTGAATAAAAAAAAATTATTTAAAAAAAACTGGTGTGATATTCTCCTGTATTAGTTGTCTAGTAGATGTGATTAATCATTTGGAATCATTCTTATCAAAAATTATCATGTAGAAAATATGGGGAGTTAAATTTATAATATGTTGTTTTACTAGTACTTGTTATAAATCCTACCTAATTTTAGTTAGTTCTTGGCTTATTTTGACTAAAACACATCCATGGATCATTGTTGGAATAAAATTATAAATTTCAATACGTGTATTATCTCAAAGATTTTTTTGTGTATATTCTTAGTCAATAATTGCATGTATTTAGTCAAGCAATTTTTTTAATCAGCAGGATTGAAAGGATATATATTTCTTTCCCACTAATTCATTATCACTTTATCATGGATTAAATGTTATAATACAGTAAATTCTGGTAGTAGTAAAGAGTCAGGATATGAGTATTGTGTAAGGATGTGTCTAAGTAGTTCTGTAATTACAATGTATATACTGCTTCTGTGTGGCTTCTCAACTGTAGGTAGCTGAGAATTCCCCAAAAAAGGGGGGGATTGTGTTGATATTTGCTGACCTAGTATACTGTTAAGTAAAAAAAGTTTATCGACTTCCCCAGCATTACAAAGCATGACCAACAGTATGTGGCTAATGCATGGCTTGTTTATGAATCAAATAAACTTTAGGAATGATTTGCAAGTTCATGTACACTTTATGCCTGCAGTAATCTTCATGAACAATGTACATAAAGAATCAAAACAGCAATTCTGCAAACTTGTACATGAGTGTTAAGTGTACATATATACTTTAATCTAGTCACATACATTTGTAAAGATGGTGTAAATTGACATATTGTATTCTGAAACCAAACATTTTGAAATCGGGTGCAAATTGTTGGTGGCCACAAGAAAATTCTTTCAAATTCTGAATAAAAGTAACCTTCTCTTTTCAATAGTGGAAGAAAAAGCTATCAGGCCAAAATTTCAATGTTTTCAATGTTTTGCACTTTGCTGACTTTGTTGTCATTTTTTTACAGCTCGTAATTTTGAGTTGAAGCGGGAGGATATTAAGTTATTGGAGGTGCTAGGAGAGGGCCAGTTCGGGGATGTGTTCAAAGGACTTTACACAGACAAGGTAAATACTGTAAACATGCTTTTTCCCACGCAGAATCATAATTTCTGTTCAATCCATGGGTAGAAAATTATGCAGATTTCTTAAGATTGCCCCTATATGCCTTAATTGTACTTTAGGTACTAGTATGCTGGGACAAATTTCCATGGAAAATTGTTACTGCATACATAGTGTAAATTAATACCACATGGAAAATTTTTTTTTTTTATATTCAAAGGCATTACTTCAGGAATTCCCGAATGTTTAGATTTGTTTACTATTAGTTCATGTAAATATCTAAATTACTGATTTTTGATTAGTTGAAAAAATAAAATTTTAAAAAGAAAAAAAAATCCGATTTTTCATCTCCTGTCCCTCCCCAAACGTGTAAGAGTGATCAAGCTAATATTTCTTTTGACAGGATGGTCTGCAGTCTGCAGTAGCTGTGAAAACTTGTAAAGAGGATAATGAGGACTCCATGATGGAAAAATTCCTTGAAGAAGCATGTATGTACATGTATATTTACATATACATCTAATATTTCTAATGTGTAAGATAGTTCATATGATAGTTATAGACATATTGGGATTTCATATAATGCAAATTATGAATGCAGTAATTTTATTCTGTTGAGGGGATTGTTCTGTGAATATCCTAATTTTGTTATATTTTATGATTTTTTTTTTTTGGACAGTGATTATGCAGCAGTTTGATCACCCCCACATTATCCACCTGGTAGGAATCTGTTCTGAGACACTTCCTGTTTGGATCGTCATGGAGCTAGCCAAACACGGAGAGGTTAGTGTGCATCTTAAAAAAAGAAAATGATTAATACAAGTACATCTATTGATAAGATCAATAACTCCCCAAATAGTATTGGAAGTATTATTGCAGTCATTTTGATGTTAGTACTGTCATTTTTTGGCCGTACACATGTATACAATTATGATTTCATTGACCTGTGCTCCTATCTTCTAGATGAGAGCCTACCTACAAAACAACCGTACAAGGCTAGACCTGTGTACCCTGATGTTGTACTGTCATCAGCTCAGCAAAGCCCTATCTTACCTTGAGAGCAAAAAATTTGTCCATAGGTATTCTTCTTTTTCATTTTGGAGGTTTTTCTTTTTCTTGTTTTCAGAAATATTTTATTAGGTATTCTGGTAGAAGAATAAACATCTGTAATATTCATAATTTCAGGGATATAGCAGCTAGAAATGTTTTGGTGTCCTCTCATGACTGTGTCAAACTGGGAGACTTTGGTTTGTCCCGAATTGTAGATGAACAAAGTTATTATAAAGGTATTTCAGTCATTCATTCTTATGTCAAAAATTTTTCCAAACTTTCTGTCGAAACAGATATATACAAAAGTGATAAACTCATTTTCCTTATTTGTCCATGGTGATGTTAGTTTAACAAAGTAAAATTAATTTTTCAGCTTCAAAAGGGAAGCTCCCTATTAAATGGATGGCCCCCGAGTCTATAAATTTTAGAAGATTCACAACAGCTAGTGATGTCTGGATGTTTGGTTAGTATTTCAAAGAGTTTGAATATTTTGATCACAGGATGAAATATTAATGTTCAAACTGATTTCATTTTCCTGACATTGATTCAAAAATTAATGTTTGCACACTTTAAATATTTTGTTAGCAAAATGTTTTGAGGTTATTACTAATTTCATGTAAGACCTTGTTGATGAATTTTCTTTCTTCTTTATATAGGAGTGTGCATGTGGGAGATTCTGATGTATGGCATTAAACCATTCCAAGGAGTAAAAAACAATGATGTGATTGGGAAAATAGAGAATGGGGAGCGACTCCCCCTCCCAATTGATTGTCCACCCTCCCTGTACAACCTCATGTGCCAGTGCTGGTCGTATGAATCCTCTAAGAGACCATCATTTTCTGATGTCAAAGTACGCCTGCGGTAAGTCTCGTCCATATTTTATCTTAAATTACACTTTTTATAATGGTGTTATTTTTGGAACTACATATACTTTTATGTTGCATTTTGGATTAATTATTTTAATCAGACAGTTCATTTGTTTTACAGAGAAATTTTAGATGAAGAAAGAAATCGCCAGGTTGAGGAGATGAAAAGAGATAACAGAAGGATACAGGAGATCAATTGGAGTAAGTTCAACATTACAGAATAGGTCTGAAATCTAAGGACAATTATGTTTTGGCAAATTGATTAAAAAAAAAAATTCCAGATCTCAACATTAATAAAAATTCATGTTCCTTGTGTTTTTTAGCAGGATCCAGTGGATCAGATATTGAGGAACCTCCTCCGAAACCAGCCCGCCCCAATTTCATGACACCAGCTGGATCCACCCCAAATCTATCCAGCAACCATAGTGTAGAATCTCTTCCTCCTTCCTGGGGAAGCACCACGCACCTTCCCATTAGTCACAGTACACCACTGGGACCCAGTCCACAGCAACCCCCAGCCCCTACCCACACAGGTCCTCCAATCATGTCAATGATCCCAGGTCACCAGGGGCCTCGAGAAATCAACCTGCAGAATTACTTCCCCTCATCTTCTGGTTACACCTCAGTGCAACAGCATCACCACCTTCATCAGAATTCTGAATCTGTGCCAGACATGGGAAGAGGAGGGGCAGGCTACCCAGGTTACCATGTGCCTCGAAATCCTCATGAACTGTCAGAAATGTTGTCAACGGGTCAGAGAAATGCCTCTCCGACCCCCATTAATTCCACTGTGATAACTGAAATTTTACCTCAGAATCCTCACCAGGAGTCGTCCTCTGATAATGAGTGGGTGCCACAAGTGCCGGTGAGGCTTCTGAACGATTCGGAAGATGCAACTGTGATAGAACAGCAGTTGATCCTCCAACAGAAGCAGTCTGAGGAGGATGCCAAGTGGCTGCAAGACTCAGAAAAACACCTAGTAAGCTTATACAAGACTTTAACAAACATAAACTCAAATTCATTTAGTCAGATTGCTATTACTTAGATTCTAGAAGATTAAAAAAATAGTAAATACTGCAAAAATGTAATTTTCTTTTTATTTCTTAGAGAAGAGATAAAGGGCCAGGTGCAATCAAACAGGAAGGGCGAGTTTCCAATAATCGCTCCCCAGCAAATACTCTTCCCCTCCAGAAAGAAAATCCTCCCATTCCTCCTCATCCAGATGCCATCAACAGAATGACAAGTCGCACATCAAGTAAGTGTTGGAAAGAAAGATGAATAATGAAATATTGTAGTGCCGTTTGTAAAATATACATCTCAGATTGAGGAAGGTTATTAAGAATTATTCCAGAATGTGGAGAGTTAAAGTAATTTTTACCCCTCTCCCCCCAATAAAAACATCTACACCAAACCTTTTAACTTCTTCAATTCATGTATGTTTATCGGTATGTTTGTATTACAATAAAGAGATGTGTTATGTATAACCAAGGTGTCACTTCCAAGCATTCAATAATTCAAAGAGGAAGACCTTTTTTGAATGTCCGAAAGATTTCAAGTCTCAAGTTCAATTTAAAAAAAAGAAATATTGAAATATTTTTAGGTGGTAGCAGAAGTAGTAGTACAAGTGGGTCAGATGGTGTGTCATCACCATGGCAACCAGAGCCTCCTGAGTTGGACAGGACTAATGACAATGTATACAATAGTACTACTAATGTTGTGCGGTCTGTAATGACCTTGACAAAGGAAGCCAGTGGAGTAAAAGCCGAGGAATATACAGACCTTGTCAAAGTGAGAATCTGTTTAAATTACCTCATCATTTTTGGTGGGAATTAAGGAGGTTCGATCCTGAGCCTTTGAGCAGATTTTGGTCTGGACCTTTATTTCTAAAATTCTGTATCTTTTTTAAGTTCTAACATTAAATTTGGATTCTACAATGCAAATTAAACTATATCCAATGAAAAAAACGTGATTAAATTCCATTCAAATAGGATTAAGCCAGGAACTATATTTTGTGGCGGAAGGTTTTTTAGAAGAAAATGATCAATTTTTCCCTTTTAAAGTATATACAGTACTGTTAAGTTTAAATTCCTATTTTTCCATGCTGGTTGCACACAGAGCTGTTTTTTGCACTGAAATGTTTTATTCTGGTTCTGAAATATCTATTAAATTATTTCTTATGAATTCTTTCATTATATTGTGACAAATATAGTAAATATATTCTGAAAGTCCAGGAAAAAAATTGAGCCAATTTTAACAAAAAATTAACACTTTTTTAGTAATATCTAAAAATTTACATCATAGACCCCCACTTTTGTTTTTCTTTTCTGAATATATAAGATAACTTTGATCAATCTGCTTAAATTCAGCAAAAGTTTAAGACTTTAAAATAATTTTCCTGCTTGCTAAATTTTTAATGCCAGAAAAATCACATTTTCTGAGTGCAGAAAGGTCAAATAATTGATTATGCGAAGCAATTTGAAACTTTTTCTTAGTCACAATTTTAATGTGTCTTTTTTCAAATAGGCTAATAGTTTATTTTGTCCCATGATTTATTTGGATAAAAGCATTGGAGGGAAAACGTCGAAGATGTGATTTTTGATTAAGACAAAAATTTCAGTGCAAAAAGGTCATATTAAATGTACTGTAGCGCCAAAAGAAGCATATTGACCCCCATTTTTTGTTTTGATTTTTAATTAAGCTATATGTGTAGAAACTAAAAATATACTTGACAAAAAAAGTTTAACACTTTAAATATCAGGATCCAACCTCGTTAAATTTTAACTGATTCTTCTTCAATAGTGACATCGATTCAAATTTGTTCAAATTTTTAAAAAATGGCATGTCTTTTGAATTAAGTACATGTAAATCTTGCACCTAATGAAATTTTTTCCTTCTTTCATAAATATTTTAGTTCTAAAAGAAGAAAAGATTGCATAATCACCATTTACATTTTTAGGGTTAATATTTCGCATATTAAGTACATCACTGAAAATTGAAAAATTTTGTAGTCCCACTGTTGTTCCAGTAAAAAAGAATGATTCTTTGTTACAGGACATTGGAGTGAAGCTGCGTACTCTTTTAGGAGCAGTGGATGAGTTCATCCCTACTCTTCCTGCCTCATTTGTCCATGATGTACGTCTTTGTCTGCATTTGTAGCTAACTTCAATTTGATCATTTTCACAAAAATTGTCATTTTAAATCTTGCAAGTGAGAATGGCATTTTAATGATATGTGTTTGGTGTATCATTTCAGGTACAAATGGCGCAAAATGTTTTATCAACTGACATGGCATCACTTATTGCTGCCATGAAGCTAGCGATCCAGTACAGCACGACAACCATGGATGTCGAGTACAGAAAGGGCATGCTGAAGGCAGCTCATGTCTTAGCAATGGATTCCAAGAACTTGCTTGATGTTGTAGACAAAACTAGAGTGAAAGTGAAATCATTAAGTGGCCCCAGCTGATAATTAGCTTGTGTCTGAATCTGTGTGCATAATACAGGTTGTACAAATTCCTGGAACACTGCATCATCCTCACACCTAACAAAAATGGGAAGAATGTGGCATTGCATCCCCAGGACTGAGTGAATCACGGACACAGACACCCTGTTCTTTCACTACAGTACAAGACCATTAGTCCAGAAGGCAGTGTGCCTCAGCATTTAGCCCAGAAGTGCTTTGTATACACAGACAACCACAAGTAAAAATTTCGTTATTTGGACCAAATTATGTACATTCAAACCTTAGCAGTCTCAGCTCACCATAGTTACTTGCAATTGCACAAGTGAAAATTATTCAGACAGTATTTTGAAATATTAATTAAATGTGCACTTAATGAAGCTTTGAATTGTGAAAAATTAAGAGTGGATGTGTGAAAAATTGTGTCTGTGAGAAAAGTATGTCAGAAGTGTGTCATTATCAAGAGATTACATCCATTTCATGTTGTACAAAGGGAAAAATATTCTCTTGCCATTTATTTATTGCTGTAAAATAAAATTCATGAATTCTATAAAAAAAAAAAAATTTTCTTCGAAGTTTTGCACCAGGAACGAAAAATTTGTACCAGTATATAAGAAAGAAGTTTGAATCATTGATCTTCAACCGAAGCCTTGGTTCCTATTTCAGTTCACCTTGACAAAGTCGAGATGAGCTTATGCTTTACTCACCAGCAGTGGCATCCTGATTAAAGTTTTAGGGGCCAGTCCATTTCCACACATATATAAACTTGCATGGATGATGCATCTAGAGGTAGATACTACCAGAGTTGCTTCAGATGCTGGATCTGACCTACATTTTCCAGATGAGTGATGAAGTTAAAGTTTTTGGAGTATGTTAATTTCTAAGTAACTATAAGCCCTACCCGGACTGAACTTGCAAGAATGATGCATCTAGGGATAGACACTACCAGACTTGCTTCATATGCGGGATCTGTCCTAATTTTTGAGTGACTTTAATATTTGACATGAGTGTTCATTATGACAAGACCTTTCCATTGGTACAGAAATTTTTGATCATGTGACCTCAACTTTAACCTTTGACCTACATTTGAAAAACTTTAACATTGGCCATAACTATTACACTGTAGTCTATGTCCCACTCCAGAATTGTGTTACCATCGAGGGCATAGTGTTTCACAAACGCATCTTGTTTTCTCTCTATCCATCTGAGTTATTTTTCTTTTTTTATCAATTTTCTTGCAATATCTACTGCGTGCATTCATGTAACATCAAGATTTTGACAATATCAATTCTTTGACGTTAGTATATTTAGGACACGCAAAAAAAAAACCGACATAATATTCTTTAAGAAGAAAAAAATACATGCAAAATAATAGTAATGCCGCCTGTTTTAATCACGAAACAGTACAGGAACGAAATAATAATTTGTCTCTTTCGGAAAGTATTTGACTTTTTCATTTCTCACATGCACTCTCGGGATTTTTCATTATGATTGATTGTTAAGTAACAACATGGCTACAACCTTGTGTCGTTTTCTGAGAAAGACGATTGTAAACGCATCTAGAGTTCCCACAGTATACGCTCATACACTGTCACAGACAACAGAAACGAAGCCAGTGGATAAGTCAGAAAATCAGAAAGATACGCCCATTTCTACATCTCAAGGAGACCAAGCACCTGCTGAAATCGACAGCGTTTACCGTGCAAATGCAGGTACATGTACTCACAATATCAAGTAACACAAATATGACTGATTAATTTTGTTATTTCTTGCACTTGATGTTTTTCGAACTAAAGTAATTCGGACGATAGGAAAACGAGATATGTATCATACATTGTAGAACAATTTTAAAACAATGTCATATCACAGATAGGCTTATTTTACCATCAATGTGAACTTGTGATCTAAGATTAAAAGACAATGTTCTTGCAGATGTTCATGGCCCCATTCCAGAGTTTACTGGGTTTGCCTTAGGTTTAGAGCAGTACGAAATGCTAACAGCTGAAGAAACAAAGGTAAATGTTATGATTATAGGGGTAGACACTCCATATTCCTGACAGCAATCTACACTCCATATTTATTCCTGACAGCAATCTACAACTAAGAACAGGCAGGCTGTAAATCCCTTACTCTGGATTCTTGACTCCCAGCATATTTGGATTGCATTTTTTATTTTCTTCATATACTTTTTTAGCCAGTGGTAGAAAACATCAAAGACTGGTTCAGGTTTCAGATAAGTTTAATGAAGATGTTGAATAAAGAAAAACCTGAAATATTATAATGACACACAACATATAAATGACACAAAACACAGACAATATAGATGAACATACAGACAGTTATAACAGACTAGACTTTATAGTTCCATGAATGTATTGTCTTAAATTCTTACTGGGACATGCACAAGCACATTAACAAATATTGCTCTCTGTTTTTAGTGACATCTATCCAGTTGAATGGCTAGGCTAGGAGTGTGGGTTGTAAGTAAAAGAAAGCGGGAATTTAGTGAATAGTATGTAAAGTCATGTGACTGTCTGTTCAGTGTCTATAAATAACATACCACAATGACATTCACACAAACTCTTTCATACCCCATACTCGCATATACTAAAGTAGACAAGTTGCATTTGTACATAACTCTGGTTACATTTCATAGTCACATTTTAAAGTTATGTTGAACAAAATTCTCACATACATAAATACATCAGAAATGTAAGAAGAAAGAATGTGTCTAAGAACATACTTCAGGGCCTGAAGACATTTTAAGACGATCACACCTGTACAGATTACTCGCACCTATACCTTAGATCTATCATTTGGTAAAAAAAAAAAATCTTGGCCTTTAACAAAAGGAAAATTCTACTTGCTATAGTTATTTGGGCAACTAGATTTAAACTTGGATAGTTCAGATGAAAGTCAAGAGTAATTTGGTCTGTATCACTATGTTAACATTTTCATGCTTGTTTTCTTGTAGGATGTATTTTCAACAGGAGTGATACACATGACGCCTCAATATGGGCAGCATGAAAACCCTTATGTGATACCATCAACCAAGGAAAAAAGGCTTATTGCTTGTCTTTGTAAGTTATTATGGTATATCATTCAAAGTTGTAAACAAAAATAATTATTGAAGACAAGGTCTATTTAAAAGCATAGGAGTCAGTGAACCTATCAATTTTATCAATATTTTCAGTATTAAAAAAAAGAAATATATGTAATACCTACCATAAAATAATATATTGTGTATATTTTTATTAACTGAATATGTGGAGAAAATTGATAGGTACACAAATTGCCATTGTTACAGATTTGGTTGTCTATCTATCATGTATTTGAAATTGTCCATATCCAACACAAAGAAAGCAAAGGATGTAGAGAAGATAATTTACCCCAGGTCATCATTTGAAAAAATTAAATCTACACTTTCTCAGGATGTTTCCACATAAATATGACTAATCATGGCTTTGCAGTTCTTGAGAAGAAGATTTTTAAAGATCTCTTCTCATATATGGTATTCCCATGTAAAACTTTGATTGCCTATTGTGGCCCCACCCTACCCCTGGGGCAATGATTTTAAGAAAATTTGAATCTACACTGCCTGAGGATGCTTCCTGCAAAAATTGTTGTTCTTAGGTTTTGTATCTTGGTTCTAAAATATGTCCTGCTCTCTCTTTAAATATCACAAAGCTGTCAATGGTGGTGGGCTGGTGGCCAGTATTTTGTTGAATGAAGTGCAAAGCTTTATAAATAAAGAACAATACCCAGTAGGAAATTAATTGTTGGTTTAGGATGAAAAAAAGGTAGAATTTGTAATATATGGGGGAACTTAACCTTTGAATATTATTCAGGGTTATAATGACTAAATTACTGGAACATGTCATTCACTTGACCTATTGCTCCCTTGTCCTTCCTGTAGAGTTCATTGATTGTAAATTTTTGAACTTTAAAAGACCCTTCTTTAAACATATGTGTGTTTATTTCAATATTTAGTTCACCTTGATGAAGTGGAAATGAACTTATGCTATATCCCCAGGTTAAAGTTTAAGGAAATGGGGCCTGAGAGATGTGACCAAAATCATCTGAATTAATTTAGTCTTCAAAAATCTTATTCAGATGAACATCAAGCATGAAAACTTTTTGTGAGATTATAATGAGAAATAGCCTTCAAAAAACTGTGAAATTTATGCTGCATGCATTCTGGATACAAACTCCAGGGTGGGCATAAGTTAGTCCTATACATGTTTAAATCTGTATTACTTCATAGAAATTCTTCCTGACATCCAACAAGCAACCTATGCAAGAAGGGATAATAGCCCTTCACCAAAAATTTGAAATTTATGACTTATGGGGTCTGAATTTGACATCCAGAGAAAGGCTAGGTTGGTCATGAAAGGGAAATGCATTATTGAAAATTTTCAAAAGGCATAAGTTTCATGGAAATTTTTCCTGACATCAAACAACTGGTTTTTATGTAAAATAATAAAAATGAATCAGTGTCCACCTACAAGAATCGTTACATATATGATTTCCTATAATAGGGTTCAGGCACCAAGATGGGGGGGGGGGGGTTAAGTTGGTCATTGTACATATATGTAATATGTGTGCAATATATAGAAAAATGCTCCCTCCCTGGACATCAAGCAAGCAAACTCTTGCATAATTTAAAAAAAAATACATGTACTTATAATAACAATTTTGGTAAAAATTTACACATAGTTTTAATTATATGCCCCCTCCCCTTTACCCTGCATTCAACTCTAATACATGGAAAAATGAATGATAAAATACCATTATCTCAAAGTATTTTCTCAGTCCCTTAGAGTTTGAGATAACAAGGTTTGACTGTATATTGTTTTTTTAAGTTTAAAGGTTTCTCCTAACAATAAGAGCTTGAACAGATGCTTCATGTTGTTTTCTAAAGTTTAACATTGTTACAATACTTAAGTCAATGATATAATCATGATTATATTGTTTTTAATTGTACATGCCCCTTGAGGGCCCTTGATTGGTGAATAAACATATTCAAATTCGATACCTGCAGGTTGCAGGAGCATGGTCAAAGAATTCATTGTAATTGATGTGAACTTTTATTTTAGGTGATGAAGACTCGAACACTTTAGAATATATGTGGCTACATAAAGGGGAACCACAAAGATGTTTATGTGGAATATTCTTCAGGTTGGAAGAAGTTGATGCATTTGGAGATCCCAAATGACCTTAGAATTGTTTTCAACTGTAAATATAAATGTGCAAAATTACACAATTTATTTATCATTGTTTATGTTCAAACTTGTACCTGTTTTTTAAAAAGAATAAAAACTTAAAAATTCTCTGCTCCTTTTTAGATGTGTGTAAAGTTCCAGATTTTAATGAGTTTCTGGGTGCATAACTTAACAGGTGGTGTGAAATATTATCTTGATTTACTTGTATTTCTGCAAACAATGCAAATGCAAGAGTGATCAAAATATTTTTCCAGTGTTTAAAGGATAATACATGTACATTGTGCTATGAAATAAAAACTAGAAATCTCAATGGAAGGATCAGGAAATTGTGATTTAAATACAAAATAGCTTTAAATTCAAAACTGATGTTAAATGAATGTTTTCTTGACAACTTGTTACCAAAATAAGCAAATTAAGCTGTATACAGTGTAAAACCTGAGAAACAACATTTTTGTCTGTTTTGATTGGTATACAAGGTGATAAGATTTTTGGAATTCAAAAATAAACATATCACCTACAACCTGCTTTAGAATATTTATCACTTTTTTTTCCTATTCCATTGCAAATCTCTCTCCCTCTTTCTCTCTCTCTCTCTCTCTCTCAAGACATGGATTTTGTCTTCTTTGAAAATCATAAAAGACTAAACATAGTGTGATTTGATAAATGATAACATCAAACAATATTATATACCATGAAATTATCCATTTCTCTCTATTCTTTAAAGATGTAGGGAAATCATGGGAGATTATCAATGTGATGATTTCATTTTATTCCAAGCCAAGAATTTTGTTTTAAAGTCCTATGAAGAATGCTCTTTTGGTAGTTGTACATGATGTTGCCTATTAAAAAAAAACAGTAAAAGGAAGTTATTATCTTGTTCTAGTCTTTTATTTTAAAATACCAGTTGTAATATATTATTAAAATTACTATTGTTATTTTAGATATACACATTGAGAATTCATTCAAAGAGTTGGGAGCATTTCAGGTGTTTCTTTGTAGGTGTTTATCTGAGTTGGTTCCTCATTCAAGGACAAAAGAAAAAATGGATCAATTTGGAAACCAAGAATGAACTCACTTCAATATAATGCAGATGTTTTCCATTAAAAAACAGAAGGTGTTTGATCTATCATTTTTATTAGTCCACCTTGATGAAGTCAAGATGAGCTTATGCTATACCCCCGGTGTCGGCGTCCCGGTTAAAGTTTTAGGAACAAGTCCCATTCCCAAGTAACTATAAGCCCTACCTGGACCAAACTTGCATGTATGATGCATCTAGGGATGGAAACTACCAGACTTGCTTCGGATGCTGGATCTGTCCTAGACTTTCCAGATGAGTGAACAGGTTAAAGTTTTTGGAGCAGGTCCATTCCCAAGTAACTATAAGCCCTACCTGGACTAAACTTGCATGGGTAATGCATCTAGGGATGGAGACTACCACACTTGCTTCGATGCTGGATCTGACCTAGATTTTCCAGGTGTGTGACCAGGTTTAAGGTTTTTGGAGCAGGTCCATTCCCAAGTAACTATAAGCCCTACCTGGACCAAACTTGCATGTATGATGCATCTAGGGATGGAAACTACCAGACTTGCTTCGGATGCTGGATCTGTCCTAGATTTTCCAGATGAGTGACCAGGTTAAAGTTTTTGGAGCAGGTCCATTCCCAAGTAACTATAAGCCCTACCTGGACTAAACTTGCATGGGTAATGCATCTAGGGATGGAGACTACCACACTTGCTTCGGATGCTGGATCTGACCTAGATTTTCCAGGTGTGTGACCAGGTTTAAGGTTTTTGGAGCAGGTCCATTCCCAAGTAACTATAAGCCCTACCTGGACCAAACTTGCATGTATGATGCATCTAGGGATGGACACTACTACACTTGCTTTGGATGCTGGATCTGACCTAGATTTTCCAGATGAGTGACCAGGTTAAAGTTTTTGGAGCAGGTCGGTTCCCAGGTAACTATAAGCCTTACCTTGATCAAACTTGCATGGGTAATGCATCCAGGGGTGGACACTACCACACTTGCTTCATATGCTGGATCTGAGCTAGATTTTCCACATGTGGGAACAGGTTTAGATTTTGGAGCAGTCCCATTCCCAAGTAACTATAAGCCCTACCTGGACCAAACTTTCATGGATGATGCATCTAGGGATGTACACTAACCAACCTGCATCGGGTGCTGGATCTGACCTAGATTTTCCACATCAGTGAATTTTAGCCATATTTTAACCAAATTAGCATGGATGATGTATATAGGAATGGACACTTCCAGACTTGCTTTGGATTCTGAATCTGACTTACATTTTACAGATGAGTGACCAGGGTAATTTTTTTTTAGAGAAGCCATATAATATTATGGCCTGTTATGATTAAACTTGCATAGATGGTGCATCTAAGGATGAAAATGTCCAGACTTGTTTTGGATGTTGGAACTGACCACAATTTTTTGATTACTAAACAGGTTAAAAAGTTTTTTGAGCAGGTCTATTTCCAAGTAACTACAAGTCCTACTTAAACCAAACTTGCATGGATATTGATCTTGGGATGTACCCTAACTAGAAAAAAAAATATCTGAAATTTGCCTTACTTATAGATAACATTCGTCGAGGTGAGCTTCGTAATCTCGATTACCTATGTTTTTTTTTATCAAAAAAGAATAATTTTGTGAGCTCATTGATCAAAGTACCCCTAGTTTACCCAAGTTTTGTTGCAGTGACAATTGTTTCCTTCCATTCACTGTTATGTTTACTTTTGTTGTTAATGTATCATACAGGTCATTATACTCCCTGCTTGAAAAACGGGGTATTTAGTGATGGTGTTGTCCGTACGTCCCTTACACTTGGAGGTACCTATCTCTTATCTGCAACTCCTCCTAATTATCACTGAATAAAATTTTCTGAGACTTTCACAGAATATTTTTTACATAATGCCACTAAGTCACCCCTATTTTACATTTTGATGAGACACATATTTGGGGTTTCCCTTAGCAAATATGGACAGTGGCATTCTTTCTATAATACTGGGGGTAGCTGGTCTCTTGGCTGCAATTCCTCCTAATTATTATCACTGAATAAAATTTTATATGTTCCTATCGAGGGGGACAATAAACTTGCTATTGTTCGAATATTCAGTAAATAGGTGATTTATTATATCGAAGAAGACTTTACTTGTGTAACGTCACGATCTAATAAACTTTGAATTAAAAAAGAAGAAGTGTGTTTCTCTTCAAATAATCGATTATGAGAATTTCACAGAATCTTTATTACATTGTGCACCTCTTATTTTATGGATTGATCAGACAGAGTCATTTCAGGTTTCTCATAGCAAAACAATGTATACATGTACTGCCATTCTTTCTATAATATATACTGGGGATACCCATCTCTTATCCACAACTTCTCCTATATCACTGAATAAAGCTGAATGAGACTTTCACCGAATCTTTATTACACAGTCCTATTGTGCCTTGTACATTTTGATCAGATACATAATTGGAGATTTCCCACAGCAAAACAGAGAAACTACCATTAATTCTTTCCATAGTGTGACCATCTTAAGCTCTTATAATTATCCGCAACTCCTCCTATACCACTGAATAAAATCCGCAACTCCTCCTATACCACTGAATAAAATCCGCAACTCCTCCTATACCACTGAATAAAATTTATTGGGGAGACTTTCCCAGAATCTTCACTACTTATATAATTCCATTGTGCATCTCCTATTTAATGTACGTTTGATATCAGTCACATTATTGGGCCTTCTGATAACAAAACATGGACTTTGCCATTATACTCATAATGGAGCAGGGTTATCATTTTGTGAGCTCATTGCTCAGGGTACAAAACAGTTGCATCTTCATCAGCAGATCAGGATAAGACCAAAAAAAAAACACATTTAATGTAATACATGCATGTATATGATAATATTATATATGTGTGTGTGAATTAATGGAGAAATATATGGCATCAAGAGCCTGTACCTTTTTGAAAAGTTTCTGCATGCTTCACTCTCTCTCTCTTTCTCTCTCTCTCTCTCTCAAACTTAAAAAAAAATGAAAAAAGTTATAATTTTATGATCAGACATGTTTAACATTTTTGATCAACCTTAATTAAATCAGGCTAATAAGAAAAACTTTTTACATTGACAATTTTGTTTCAGTTGGTGGAATTCTATATATGTATACATGTAAATGATGACTTTCTGTTCATTATTTCACATTGCAATTATGAAGCATCATTTAATATTTTTGAGTTATTAACTGACATAAAAATGTACATTTTGATCTCAAGAATTATAATTAAGTTATTTTCCAGTATCAAAAGGTTGATTAGTTGATTATATGATACCATTAAATGATTTTTTTCTTCTTTACATCTTATATCATGCATTTCATGTATATAAATCATTAAATTTTAGTAATTTTTGGTTTTTGAGGATGGGAATCAAATCCGAATAATTTAAAGAACCGGTTACTCAGTTCATTTGACCTCTCCCGAGAGCGAGACTTCGGCGCGAAGTTCTTGACCTTGATCGCACTCTCTTTGCAAAAATGGCCTCGTCCTTGTGTAGGACTCTTCTGAGGAGTGTGAGGGACTCAAAGCGACTGCTACATACGAGTGCGCCGGTTACGGCGAAAGCCATTAATCTTGGAGGCTCTCTCACGGACCATTTTAAAGGAAATAGAGGTGACATAGAGTTGGGATAAGAAAATTTATATTTAATCCTTGTCACGTATTCCATAACAATTATGAAAAATAATTATTTTATTATCATTTATAATAATAAGATGTATGTTATCTCAATAACAGCTCAAAATCTTGACAATAATTATACTCTGAAGGTAATCGGCGAGGTTGCTAGTGCATATTCTCGAAGATTACTATTTTTCGAATTTCCTCTGACTTTTAAAGAATTATCGAAATATGCCGGAAAACGACGAAGTTTTATATTTATTGTCATGAATTAAACATGCTCATTTGTAATACCCATATTGTTAATATTTAAACACTGTGATCAGAAGAAAACGCGCTTAGAACAGAAGTTGTTGTTGTGTTGCTTAAATGTCCTTCAAAACTAAACATTAAAGGAGACAAATGTCGAAG